ATAAATTCTGACATCAATCAGGCAACGGAGCTGAATGCGCAAACACGGAAATTCTTTCACAACAAGAGGTCGATGGGTGTCGACGGAATGGAAAATTAGGCAAGTGTGTCGCTTTCGAGCATCTACTTCTAGATATCACTGTTTTTCCGTTCTTTTACTCAAAGAAAAGAACAATTATCTCACATGAACGTTTATTTTCGCGTGAGCTGTTTTCTAAAATTAGTTGTAACATCGGTGAAGACACATTACAGAGACTGCACCCAAATAAAATCGTATTTTGTATAAAGGAAGTGATATGAAAAAGTTAAAAAATTGATTATTTATTTTTTAAATAAAGTTCAAAAAAGCAAGAAATTTCTCACACGCTAGAATATAATTAATCACAATATTTTTGTTATTGCGAAGAATATATTTGTGTAATCTTATAAAACAAAAATTCTTATAATCGGTATCGATAAATGGATCTCTTTGATTGTAATTAATAGAGAAATGCTCTTGTTAGAAGAAATTTTTACAGTATAAATTATCTAACGGGAGGAAAAATATAGTAGTGAAAACGCAAATCACATAATGACTCGTGTTGCGTTTTCTTTGTAAAAATTTCGAAATGCATTTTTACGATGGTATGCATTCTATAATCTAGTCGATCATCCGAAGGAGAACTAGAAAGTTTCCTTCAGGATTAGAGCGTGACAGTGCTCCGATCCGTAGCGGAAACAGAGCGTGAGGCTAACAAGTAAAAGTCTCGCGAGAATGAATATTAGCCATTCACGCGATATCAGTAGTCAATTTGATAATTGACCTGTTTAAATCCGCATCAGATCAGAGTTGATTTCAATTGCTTTCGAATTATTATTCTCAATAATCACTTATTAACGAAATATAATTCTGTGCGATTAATGGCATTTATTGCTTTTCAAAAATACTTATTCATTTTTAATCTAGTTTCAATAAAAATAATCGTGAAAATATTAATAATAGAGGCAAATTTAAATATTCGATCGATCAGTTATTTTCTATGCGACTTCGAGAAAATTGTATAAAAAACTAAATTAAAAATCTTCCCATGCAATTTGCTGCAATTTTAGATTAATATTTATCGAACCAATTTTGTGTGATCTCGTTTTTCGCAGTCATAAATTCGCAGTGAAAATGTTTTCATAACATTTCACCAGACTCTCTCATCGATACAATTAACGTTACATTACTCGAACGATATGTAAAGCGAAAAAGAGAGAGGGATCTTTTTATATACAAGGCATTATTGGGACCATCTTTCGATTTGTGTTATGATTAAACAAGCAATTAGATTAATCTCATCTGTATTGTCATTCAATTAGTTCACAAAATTTTCTTCAACTTTGTATATATATATATAT